TTAACAGGCTTCTTCAAGTAGATAGTGGGAAACCCACGTCAGATATTCAACAATCAACATTTACTCCATATATCCTTGAAGTGGGGATTATTCCACTTTACGCGAGCAATATCAGAGCTGATCCTAGCTCTGAAAAGTGTGAGTAAGACTGATGTTATACCTTTATATTTATTTTATACACCGATTTACTGTGCCATTGGAGTCCTGTTTTTATTTTTCTCTCCACATATGCTGAATTCTCAACATTTGAAGATATGATCCCACCTACACCCTAAAGAATATTCCTTTACAAGTGGGACCTACCCTCACGGACTGTGATAAGCCTATTTTATTGGACTATTGTTTTATTACTTATTTTATTCTGTATTTTATCTGACTAATTTAGTCTTTTATTTTATCAAGTTTTAGGCGCATCCTTATATCTATGTTTGTTCTTGCTATCTGTTATCATTAGGGGATTATTGGGGACTCCCCTTTGAGGATTGCTGCCTTTCTTATAATTTTATTGTGGCAATTTAGCGCTGTTTTCTTTCTCTTTTTCCAACGTACCAGGAGATCCCTAAACCAATAAAAGATGGGTGTCTAATATTCATATAGATAGCTCTAAGAAATAAAGTGCAAACTAGAACCAGTACAATTGGAAGAATTTGAAATGACAGTAGCAAACATATAAAAAGGTGGAATACAATCTGAAAAATGAACACTAGATGTCAGCCAAGAGCTAAGTAGTCTCACATAGAGGGGGAATGTTAACTAAACAATCAATGTTCAGCAGACATAAAATAGCAATAAAAAAAACAAATATGACTTAAATGGTCTGAGGCTAAAATGTAGATCTGCACAGTCTTATCTATTGTATAAAATACCACTCAATAGTCCAAAACTTTGTAGAATGAATCCAGGTTAACGGTAAAAATCAGTAACTGATGTCCTGGATACCAAAGTTTGTTTGATGTAGAAAATGAACTTGATGTGGAATAATTTCACTGTCACAGTCAACACACTATGTAGCTATCCATTAAAAAAGATAGTAAAATTCATGTAGCAGACTGAAGATACAGTATAACCAGTGTTGGTAAAATAAAATAAGTATATAAAAATGTTGCATAAAAGATAATATTACTCACATACCACTATAGCAGGTAAATGGTAATAATGGTTGCTTCAAGATACATGCTAAAAAAGAGAGAGAGGTAGCAGTGCTTTTCAATTAAAAGCTTCAAATGTATTCATCAAAATTAAAAATTGAAATCCACTCACGAACATGAAGTGTAATAAAGCAGCAAAAGAGTCCTGGGGGTCTGCAAGAGCGGGTAGTGTTGGAAAAATATTGTGGAAGATCCTAATCCCGGCCAGTGAGGTGATCTCGCTGTGCTGGGAGAGATGGAACCCTCCTCGCGTGCGTTCCACTTAGTGCGTCTGCTCTGCGTTCCACGGTTGCTCGGTAGCTGCAGTTGTTTCAGTATACGGCTGTATGCCTGAATGCCTTACGCATTTCATGAGGATTCAAATTTAAATAAATTTTCACAGTTTGACAGTTCTATAATTGTACAGTGTAGAGTTTTTGCTCTATCAAATTTCACTTTTGAAAGTACTAATTCAAATCAGAATCTTCCTTATGCGTCTATTGAGTTAACAGAATGTTTTAGGGTGTTGATTGTAGCAATATTTCTTTTCTTATTAATATCTTGATTGGTTGACATTTACCCAACCAGGATATTCATGACACAATCATAGACACAATCATAGTGCAATCATATCTATAAAAACTGTATAACGCCAGCAGCACCCTCCCACCCCCCCTTTGTTTATGTTTAGACTAAGGAAATGGTTTGTTTAGGTTTTGGGAGAGGTTAAATTTAAGGCTATGGGAAAAGGAGTGTTTAAAGGGTTATTTGCAAAGTACTTACCATCTCTTGATATTTAATGATTAAACTACATGAACTACAGGGTAAATCACTTAATGCTGTACTTGCTCCTCCTGCAAGGCATTTCCTGTGTAAGGCATTATTAGTGGCGGATGGGAAGTGATCCCTTCTACTTCCTGTCCAGACTCCACACAGATACCAGAGAAGCTGTGACATCACTCACTTTATCCATGGTGTTCCAACCATCTCTTTAATAGCCCTGGCCTTTAATTTTGTGTATTCCCTGCAGACACCTGGGTTGCATTGACCCCCTCCATATTTTACATATCACTTAAACTCTCTTCATTTACAATTACCTAAACTCAACCTCTGCTTGTCTTCCTCCCTTTCCTATTAATTTTTTCACCCACTTCGGTAATGGAAATCTTTTTTGTCCATCTCTCCGTTTGCTCTCAAGAATCCTTCCATGCTTCCATGGCCTCTCTTGTCAATGATCTCTCTATTCTTCACAATTTTGTCATGCCCTTGACCTCATTTTATATTGCTCTATCCTTTGAAATTATTCTGTTTTCCACTATTCTATTTGAATAGATGTTTTCTTGGGAGTTGGCATTATACATGCTGCTGGAGAAATAAAGGGCCATCTACATGATTTATTTTATTGCATTCATGTAGCAAAGAGCAGTACAATATTCTGAGTGAGTGAGTGTGACTTTGTGTTTGACTGAATGTGAGTATTTATTTGTACATCATGGCGAGTCTAGTATGTATGGGGGTTGGGTGAAATCACAAAATTATCTGTGGCATACATCCTATGTATACTTTTCGGGATCCAAATCACTTAGTCCTATTTTCCTAAGCTAATGCCCAAATTTTTAGGAATCCTGAATGCCCAGTCAAAATTAGAATACTTGTGAGCTCCACTCATAGTAATGTGCAGTATATATGGTGATTCACAGAGCTCCACAACAATAAAATACTCAGAGAGGTGCTGAATCACACACATGCTGGTGGCCTCTGGAGTAGTTTGAATTCCTTAGTTGAGAGGAGGTTTGTCAAAAGTGGAAGTCATAAATCCAAACCTGTGCTTGCTGCTTGTGAGGGCCATTGCAGCTCTTTTTGCCAAGGCCATAAAAAGTATGTTTAGCGCTTGTTGTATTTAGCGCTTATATGTTTGTAAGTGTCATACGGAGAATGCAAAGTACGGTTCCCGATATGATAACCTAAGTTTCAAATCGATAGGTCTCGCTTTCCATTACTATGGTCAGAGGTTCATCAAGTATATCCTTTAGAGAATGAAGATTTAACAACATAAAGAAGAAAAAAAGCCTTAGAACTTATTGGATCATTTGCGTAGAACAACAATAAATTTTAGAAAAAAATTAAATAAATTGCCTTTACAAAAAAAGATGTATTCTCCCTATTTTATACACAAATATATGGGAACAGTAGATAAAGAGGGCACTGCCCAAATAAGCTTACAATCTAAAAGAATGAGGGACAAATACACAAAGGGAAGTGAGAGAATAAAGTGATCTGAATGTACCCAAGAATGGGAGGGGTGCTTGGAAAGAAGGAGCAAAGTAGATAAGAAACGGCAGAGGAAAGTTATAGAAGATGGTAATCTAAGGAAAGAGCTGATGGGCTATCATGTTTCACCATCATCGTTATTTGGGTATATTGCTTTAAAAGCTCTGCAAGTTATTGATGTTATATCATTTTAAGGGAGACACTGATGGATGTTGCATGAGGCTATTTAGATGCACGCCTTCAGTGTCTCGACCACACTGTTAATGTGTCTTGATTCTTCACCGAGAAGAGAGCATATGCTTAACCCTTGTTACCAGGTTCCTACACTAAAGGCCTCATCTCTACTTTGCAATCTCTATCTGGATCCTCACCTAATCTCTCCAAAATCTCAAGCCAGGCTGGAGGATATCTACTAATGACAGAGGAGATGTAAACCGGGGCATGGTTACAAAGAGCATTGTATTCTGGAGAGGTGTTTATTATGAATTTGAAAGAGAGGGGAAATCTGTGCACTTCTCAGTTCAACAAACAGAGTTTTACATTAATTAAGGAGGAAAACAAGAAGCGCATGGACAAGTATGTTAATTTCATTCTGAATTATTTTAAGATGAGAACGATAGGATTTGGTGATATATTTTATGTAATGGAGGAAAGAACCATCAGAGTCACGCCAAGGCAAGAAACCTATGGAGTAGTCTCTCCATTGGCTTTAAAGGAAGCAGGCACAGACTAAGTCTCAAAGGGAGGAAAGAGATCCCAGTTCAGAGCCTTAAGCATCTCCAACCGAGAACAGTACAGAAGTGGGAGGGGAACCAGAAAAGGAGACAGTGAAGAGGTAGAGGGGTAGGAAGAGAACTAGGAAAAAGCAGTGTCACACATACAAGGTCTGTGTTCACTGTCAAAAACATCTCTTAAATAATATAGGTATTGTAACACAATGCAAAAAGGGACACTAAAGGCACCCAGATCACTACATCTCAATCAAGTGTACTGCATGCTGTACCCTGCCATTTTAACCTTGCAATCTAAAAAACTGTGGGAATGTTAATGTTCTCATTGCAGGGTTAAACGTACATGTAGTGGCTGTATTCTTGACAGTTACTAGAAGTATATTTTCATTGAGAAACAGTTTAGATTCAGTTCTCAATCAAATGATGTTCATAGGGATATAGGCTGGTACGGTGAGGGCTGACATAAATAGTAAGTCTTTGTTTATTATAAAAAGGGGGGTCAGTCACCTAAATAGTTGGTAGGACAGTATGGCATTGGGAATGCATGGTTATTTTCCTAACTCAAAAAGTGCATGGCCGGTGGCACGCTACCAGAGTGCTTTCCACCAGGCAAACACTGACTGGCAAGGCAAGATACCACCAGCAAGGTACAGACACATTTTTTTTATATTGTATACATATTCCTATGTGTGCCTGTCTGTGCCTGTGTATGCTTGCCTGTGTTTGTGTGGGCTTGCCTGTTCATGTCTCTCTGTGCCTTTGTACACCTGTCTGTGCCTGTATGTACCTGTCGGTGCCTGTGTATGACTGTTTGAGTATGTGTGTGTGTCTGCATCTGTGTGAGCCTCTCTGTGTCTTTGTGTATCGATCTGTGACTGTGTGTACCTGTCGGTGCCTGTGTGTTGCTGTGTGTGCTTGTACCTGTGTGTGTGTGTGTATCTTGGTCTGTAAGTAACTGTGAGTGTGCTAAGATATGAAATGTGAAATTTGGGTGGACCAGGGGTGGGGTTGGAGAAGGGACAGGGGTAAGCCATTGTGTAGAGGGTCATCAAATTATTTTTGGACTCAAGCTTTGGGTGTTTTTGACCCCAGCATTATAGTGTTTCTATAAAAGGATAAATGTAGAGGTCACACTCTTATCATAGTAAAGGGAGTATATACGTACTCTTCGAATACCTTTTCTGATCCACTTCTTTTTGTAAAAATACAAAAAGATTTATTCACAAAACAAATTGTGATGAATTGAAAACCAGTTAGCTTAATTAAGGCTTTGATTGCAAAATTGCTGAATTTGACCATTCTTTCCCAATTCAGTTTTCAATATACTGTAATTCACTGTTTAGTGAATATGTTCTATTGTATTCAAAACCAATAATATAACTTTACAACATGTTTTATGAACATTAAAAATAACGTAGACATAATTCTAGGTAAAAATACATGTTTTTCTGTTTGTAGGCCCACCTCCATGGACTGTCAATCATCTTTCTGGAATACTATCTTCTACGCTGGAAGTATAGATTTCGTGCAACTTTTGCACCTGGTGTCAACACACAGTAAATACAGCATACTAACCCAAGATGCCTCTGGCAGGCTGCTTACGACTGGGTGAACAGCATAGCGAACAACACATAAACCTCCTGCTGCCTGACTCTCACACAATGTAACTCTCTAATTCCCTGTTAAAGAAAAACACAAATCATTTCTTTTTTTAACTTGTGCCCTTCCTACATGCAGCGGTTATAGAAAACAAAACACTACCACTCTGTTGGGAATGTATGACCTATCAAAATGAGTGCAAGAAGTTTCCTGCTGGTGTTGGGCTGCAACTTCTGTCATGCTCAGTGAGTTTCTGGATGGAGCAAGTGGAGTTAACATGTAATAGCAAATGAACCACTTGCTAAATAGCTTATGTGGAATATAAGTCCAATCACCATATTTCAGTGGTTGAATGAGTCTAATATGAATTTTGCCCACAATAGTTTTATATAGCAAGTCACCATGTAATGAACATGTGAAAATGAATTTTAAAAAAATGGCACTTTCAAATCCCTAAATCTCATTAAAACCACCCATTACTATGGGAAGCTTTGGACTGAATGCTTTTCCATGAGACACATAGTATTGGACAATCTCTTACACTGACAAGAAAGTAAATGCTGAGAGAAAGGTCAAGCTGCATTAATTAGCTTTTCAGCTAATGAAAAGCATCTTTAAAAGCTTATTAAATATGTGTGCTAATTATAAGGAATGTGTTTTTTCCATAATAAATGTATGCACTATAAATAATCATTTTTACATATAGTTTTCCTTACAGCAAGATTGGTTGATGAATGTATATTTTCAAATACTAAACACAGTTGTCAAATATATGAAAAAAAGCCAATCATAAGCCTCCTTAATGAATGAATAATATGAATAAACTATGTATTTATTGTCAAGTATTGCTCTTTGAAATGCTGGTATTGATAGTTTGAAAATATTAGCTGTGGAGAAGCACCTACTTACCATCAAGGGCAGGGCCGCCATCAACGTGGGACAACCATAACGTTTGTCAGGGAACCGGCGACCTTAGGGGGCCCGGCCACACGAGCCCCATGTGCAGCGGTGGAACTGCCGCTGGTGCAGATGCACCGGGGTCCGCACGCTGGTAGCATTTAGGCCCGGTCAGCGCTGTGGTCGTGTAATAGCACGATCGGGCTCCTTTAAAAGTGCTCTTGGAAGTAAGTGACTGCCAGTCACTTCCTCCCAGCTCACTACATGTGGGAAGAAGGAGACACAGACAGGCCGCGACGAGTGGAGGGCCAGAGCTCCCACCAACTCCCATCAGCCCCAGCCACCCTCCTGCAAAGAAATGTAAAAAACAGGAGAGAGGCTGAAAAATTAACTGTGTGTGCATCTGTATGTCTGTTAGTATGTATTGTCTGTTAGTTTATATGTTGGTCTGTTAGTATGTATGTATGTATGTCTGTTAGTATTTATGTTAGGATGTATGTACGTCTGTCAGTATGTATTTCTGTCAGTATGTATGTCTGTTAGGATGTATGTATCTGTATGTATGTCAGTATGTATGTATGTCTGTGTGTATGTATGTTAGTATGTGTCTGTGTGTCACTATGTATGTCTGTGTGTCTGTTTCAGTATGTGTGTGTCAGTATGTTTGCCTGTATGTCTGTGTGTCTGTTTCAGTATGTGTCTGTGTCAGTATGTGTGTATCTTTATGTGTATGTGTGTATCTGTGTCCTTTTTGTATCAGTGCGTGTGTTTGTGTCTGTGCGTATGTGTATTCCTGTGGGTGGGATTTATGGTGGGCCCAGACCTTGAGCTGTGTTAGGGGCCCCAAAATTTCTGATGGCGGCTCTGATCAAGGGCAATCCAAGAAAAAAAAGGTAAAGTAGTTCTGCATTTTGGCAACATAGGCTTGGCAAATAGAAAATAATAGACTTGTGCATGATGGAAATACTTGGTTCTGCTGAATTAATTTTGTTAATGTGGCATTTTGGCTCATCCACATTTCGGCAATGCAACTGATTCAGGGATTTGATTCAAAAAAACTAAAAGAGTCTGAAAATGAGGCCATTATACTGTATTTAAGTTACTTCTGGTCAGAATTTAGTCATCAGAATTTTGTTGCAATATAATGGCATGTTGCCTTTCAAATTCAATCCACAATATTCTATCAATATTGTGAGTTTTGAGTATTTGGTAATCCATGAGTATTAAGTGTTCTGTCCAGCTGATCTATGGTTTATTTCTTTTTATTTATTTGATTTAGTAGCTGTAGCAGACCTGGTTCTATATCGGTTCGGTTGCCCGTACTTCACCTGTTCATTTTACAAACGTGCGTCTCCCCCCCTTATTTGTTTGTCGAACACTCTGTGTTCTCCTGGCTCTATATCTTCCCTCTCCCAAATGACATCTGAGCTCTCTTCCTGGGTGGGTGCCATTCGTATCACTGAAACATGTGCCCTGATAGATGGTGGCCATTTTGTCTCCCGAATGCTTACAAACAAATACTATGGTACTTTGTCTTTGACTTCATAGAATTATATTCGCACACTTGACCACCCGGTTCCCGGTCTATTTGTTTGATTGTTTTGCCTCACTTGCAGAGATGACAGGAGAGCGCTAATTGGAGGGAAGGTACTATGGACTGTGGGAAAAAATCACTCCCTAATAGCAAGGGGGAGCACCTATTTCTCCAACCACAGAAACTCCTTATAGTTAACTGGCCAAAACCACTTTTTACCCTGGAACTATTTTTGGCTTCACCCATATGTGCGGCCTGTCGAAACTTTACCCTGGTGGCGACTGGACAATTCCATATGGATCTGGGCTCTATTTGGACCACTTGGGTGCTCGGACAAGAGCTATCTATGGATGTATGACATGTGGGGTTCCTGTGGGTTTTAACCGTATTTTGGGGTGTTTAGATTTATTTATTTTTTTCGGCTCTCTGTACTGGTGAGATAACTAATTTACCATTTTATTTACTCAAATATCTCCCAGACACAGAGACGCCTGTAACTGAATTGAGACCCCATGCTGGGTTTCTGGCTATAAAAGACCTTGTCTCTAAATAAAAATGTGTTGTGCTCTCAGAACTGTGTGTCGTCCAGTTACTGGGAGGGGAAAGAGCTATTTGCTACTCAGCGGCTTGTTCCAGTTCGGGAAGGATTCAGCGAAGAAAGTCCTTGTAAGGACTAGAGCTCCGCTACAGTAGTTGTCCCATTACCATCAATCATCTCCTTGTTTTGGAGGGAGGGAATTCCAAATCACAAAATCAAATGAATCTGCCCTTCCATTGTCCATGTCATTTGTTTCGTGATTCATACACATAAAACTCCAAAGTTATGCAATTTGGATGACGCGCTGATTGGCCAAAATTCAGACAAATTGCAATTAGTTTGAAACTGAATGTACAAGTCCACTAAATAAAATACGTAAAATTAACATGGAATCAGACCTGCAAACTGATTTTCCAAACTAACAACATGCAGAAAAAAGGTTTAGTGTCTTCCAAGATCCCTGCTAAACTGGGGAGACTCGATGAATGGACATATTGCTTCACTTTAGGTGCTGTTGGTGTTGATTATTAATAATGATCAGGTGCTGTTGGTGTTGATTATTAATAATGATCAGAGATGCACCCAGATGATCCCATGACCCTTTCTCTGGGGCCCCTGCATGCATTATTAATTCCTATACCTCACTGGCCACAGGGTGGGGGAAGGTGTCTAGGACATCTGTGCACTCCCAGCTCATTACTATTTACTCAGCCTTAATGTATGTAGGTTGTGGAATAAGGGAAACTTTTTTTTTTCAGATTTTCCCACTAAATACCAAATTAAAAATGTAAATGAAAACAAAATTGAAATGATAACCGCTCCATGAAATATTATTGTTTTATAGCAGGGCTTTCCAATTACACATATAAAGTTATACAAAATGAAATCTGTACATATAGGTTGAAAATCTTTGAAAGCTACTTAAGAACATCTGTCTCCTATGTAAAGTATGGGGATTAGGTCACACCATATGGCCATATTGTGTGATGCCCGGCACTACGTCAAACTGCATTAATGTGTTGCTAATATTTGCATATGTATCTTCTAAGTATAAAATTAAGTTAAAACACAGTTATTGGAATACTTTTTCAAAGTCCTGGACATAAAATAATATGACCATTTGGTTGGTTCAATCTATTTTTTCCCCCAAGAAATGTGTGTCTTTAAATTGACCCTACCAAGTATTGTAATAAGTACCATAACAACCTTGTGGCTTTCCCTCAGTTTAGCAGGGTTCTCAAGGACCCCACTATTATTTATGTAGCTCTCTACATCCAAGGAGCTCAATACTATCACTCTATTATTTTCATGTGATTACAGCATGTGACTTGAACTGGTTTTGTGAATTGGGCTAAGCCACTGCTTAGCAGATATATTCACTGCTGCACTAGACAGAAATCAATATCACAAGATACAGAAAAAAATACTTAAAGAAATATGCACACTCACCCAGCACTCAAATGGTTAATACAATCATCTTAAGGAGACTTGCCTTTCAACCCTAAAGGCTATTCATTAAGTTCGTGTGTGTATAGAAAAACAGTGACAGCAGAGCCCTTTATATTATGTTAATTCAATTGCAGTGTTCGCATCATTATTTTCTAGCAAGCTCTGCAGAACGTAGAACGTTGCAAGATGACGTCACCTATATGCCTGTTAACCTCTATCTGAAAGAATGATGGGGGAATTGGAACATTTTCCCTATTTATTGCATTGTTCTGTAAAACGTTAATCTCTAATGGTGCCCAAATGGTTAAGCGTGTTAATTGTGGTTTAAAATTGTATCCATCATCCTTACCTTTGGAAATGGGGGAAAAAAGAACATACAAAATGTATATCACAAATATATGTAGAAGAAGATAGAATAAGGATCAGAGTTGTGTAAATGTCCACATTACAATAAATGTATTCCTACTTAAAATGATTGCATGTATTATTAGAAATATATTCTGTAATATAATAATAATAATAAATGTGTTATTATCGATGGTAGCGTCTTTAACCTATATAGGGTGATTGAGAAACGTTTTGATTACAACACTTCTATCTGTATAATTTTTTGAAAGGGTTTAAGAGAACAACTAGATTGATCTGTTTTGTTTATACAGTGTAGAGGGTTTTGTATCAAAGTGAAGGTAAAACATACGGTATGTATGCTGTATAAATGACTTATTCCCTGCAACTCTACTGGGCTCTGTGCCAAGAACACACGTATGTGTGAAGAAATGGGAAAAAAAGCAACATTTTATGCAAATGCCTCAAAGACAGATACAGCCGCAAATATATAAAATACAGCTAAATAATTGTTATTTTTTTTTTGAAGATATGATTGTTTATGTCTCTCTGCTACAAACACTATATATACAAACACAGACACATTATATATATATATATATATATATACACACACACACACACACACACACACACTCATACACACACACTAGATATATATTTAGAGTGTGTGTGTGTGTGTGTGTGTTTTATTATATATATATATATATATCTTAATAATTATTACTTGTTAATCCTGAGTTTATATTATATACGTGCACACACACTTAGGGAGCAATCAGTTAATACCAACGTGTGATTGCCATTCGCAGTGCCTATTATTTTCTATTTATGTAATGAGATGAGTTACTGGTTGGTATGGAAACCAGAATGTTGAATTATGTTATCGATGTTATTTTATTCATTTTACTGCACTATATGGTTCCTGCTAATTGATTGAGGATGCCAAGGGCTGGAAAATGCAAGTATTCGATATATATCTGTGGACATCTTAGCTCGGTATATGCACGTGTGAGTCCAAATGTAATCATAAAAACATGCTTCTAGCACTTTTCGGCTTACATCTAATGATTCAAAATCAATTCACATGGCGATAACGTGAACTCATTGAAGCAGACTCATTTAATTTTTTTTCTGCTCTTAAATTATTTTTTTTATTTTTTTAAACAAAGCTGCGTATAGCTCGTATATACAAACATCTCGCTATTCATTTCCTATATGATTGCTTAAACTGTCTTTTGCAGCCATAGTATAATTGCTACAAAGTCAGACAATCTACATGATTCCATTGATAGGAATAAAATAAGTAGGTTATACAGGTTTCTGGGAAAATACATGTAAATAATTTAACAAAGATGTGTTTTAGTGATAATTATTACTATTATTTAAATATAATATTATATCTCGTTAAAAAAAAAACGCTTCCACGTTTTTATAATATTCTAATAATCTTTAATGGTAACTATATTGTTTGTGCTGAACAATGTGTGTTGTTGAAAAGAAACCTTATTATCATCATATGAGTTATTTCATCCATTCTGCCACTATTGCCTTCCCTGGGGCGATCATGGGGTGACCTTTTAGTTTCAGTCTCTGCCTGCAGTCTAGAGATTTGATGTAAATGTGTTCGATCTCTTTAGTTTCCCTTTCCATAGCACTCTCTGGCATTTGCTAGGCTTCTGCAGAACCGTTATTCTATCAACTTAAAAAACACATTAATGAATCCCTCTAATATGCTGCTTAGCGGAACCTTCCAGTAGAGGGCGCTGTACAATAAGATACTTTTGGTCCAGCACCCTAGCTGTGAATTGTAATGACTTACAGTACTTCTCTGTATGCATTATCCACTGCAGTCAAAACTCAATTTTAAATATCTCGATACAGTGATATTATTACACATCGAATATATCCCTATGTCGTTGGAAGAACTGAGAGATCTAGAATTCTGACAGTTATTTTCATGGGCATATTCCCTGTTAGTGATGAAGGTTATTTAAATAAATACGTACAGCTTAACATGCGCTCACTCGTTAACGTTCCAATCAGTAAGTGCAACATTCTGGCACCATAAGGACGTTGTGTAACCTGGCTAGAATGCCTGTGATCAGGATGGACATAAGAGCATGAGAAAACAGATCAATAAAGCACAGGAAGAAAATAATGAATGGCAATCTACTTAAGTGCTCCTGTTAAGACATACTGAAAGAAGATTCAGTAATAAAGTGGTTGCATTTACCTCTGCATGATTCTTTCTTGATGTGATTAATCTGGTCTAGTAGGACCTATGAGGTTTTTTATTTATATATTTTTGCTTGTTTTTTTTGTTTGTTTTTCTGGACCTATTAGCAATATATTATGTGCATGCACAATATTAAGAGTAAGGACGCTATATAACAAATAACTTAATAGATAGATGCGCCATAAATATTTTATACGAGTTGCGTCGGTTTTTCTATACTGTGAATAGCACAAGGCAGTTTAAAATTTTGGTTCCATAGCATAATGCGGATATCCAGATCCCCTTCGCTGGATACAATCAATGACTGATGGGCACATATTTAGTCAGGTCCTGATGTAACGATTGTTGCATGCTGCTACACAATCCATAGGATTGCAGACAAGGCAACCGCAGAGCAGCTGGAACTAGAATACTGATTCATCAGATCTACCTTATTCATTGAGCATATATTAAATAAATCATGTAAACTCGCAGAATGGACAAATAATGCTGAATAAGGCATCATACTTATTGTGATAGAATAATCATATCTGGATCATTGTTGTAAAGGTGTATCTTTTATCAATGTGTTACTTGTCTTACACAGAACAATGAAGCTATGTCGCTATTGTTTCCAATGAGTATCAGTTAAATTTATTTTGGTGCAAGAGAGAAAGGCTACTTAATGAAGATCTGAAAGACATGTTTACCTTAGAATAAAAAAAGGAAATCTGAGTGTTTTGTGTTTGAAGTAGTCTCTGCATTCAGTCTATTTTATTACCACCTTACTGTGTATTAACTGATGACTCCAAAATTATTAATAAGGACTAGACTAGATTAAAATGAACTACGCTGGTTTGTTATATAATTTTAATTCATTTGAACGTGTCTGCAGAAATCCAACCTGTTTTCGTTTTTAATTGCTGCTGTTTAAAATAACTGTGTCCTCACACGAATAATCTAATCACAGCTTCCAAAGCATGTGTTATGATGCAATACTATCTTACAATAGAAATCTATAATATCATCTTTAAAATATTGCACCATTCCACCAGCAGAGATATTTCAATACTAACCTTTTGCTATTAATGTCCTGAGGACTGTGCTAATCAATTTACACCTCCTTTTACATTATTCTTAAAATACTCTCTTTACCAGTCTCAATGCAGTGGAGATGGTTTTTAAAGCCTTATAGCACTAACTGGTTTAAATGCTTGCAATTCTACCTCCTCTAAAAGTGGGTTTTATTCACTAAACTGTAAGCTTTAGTGAGTTTACAACCGACTGGAAAAATATTAGAAAAATAAATCTCGACTAAATGTGATCGGTTTTGCAAGTCTGATGCAAATTCACAAAACTCGCTGCTTAGTGAATAGGTCCCAAAATTCTGCGCATTAGAACAGCTCGCTTCCTTTTAATATTATTTGACTGTGTATTATACAAAGTAACCACGCTATGTACATGCATGTTTTTTATTATTTCTTTTATTTATTTATTTTTGACTCATGGAACGTGTGATTAGTTGGGGTACTTTTGCTTTTGTCTAGGACAGCTTGAAGTGCAATCTGTTACATATTTGTCCCGATCCATACCCTGTTGTTCTGTAGAGGCAGCGTTGTGCCTTTTGTATGGGGGTAGCTATTAGTCACGCTCTCATAGACGTGCATGCAGTCTGCCTTGGTTTACTTATGCAGATCATATCTGTCATTGCTACAGATTTGTTGATGGTGAGCAGTGAAGTCATGGGCCTTTTTACATCAGGCAATAGAACCAGCGCTCATTTCAGCACAATGGACAGCGATTTGCAACATAATAACTCAATGGTACCTCGCAGGCAAGACAATGCTGTCTGTACTTAATAAACCGGTTGTTGAAATTGTATGCTCATCTGAAAAAAAAAAAGAACCTTCACAAATAATACACTATATTGTGTTACAGTGAAAAAATAGAATATTAAAGATTTATGATTGCAATCTCTATGGCATAATTATTTAGACAACCTTGCATGATTTTTGTGTTAGGAAATCACTATATCTGATCTTTTTTTGTGTTTTCTACATTTTTTTCTGGTGGATATATACAAATCACAGACAAATAATTACCTTAGATCTTCTAGGATAATAACGGAGATAAAACATTAAGCAGACATGTAGCACACGTTTATTTTACACAATATAAGGCTAAAATGTAGACGATGTAAAAGCTGCACTGTGCATATTAAACTTTAAAGGTATCAGTAATTGCATAGCTTGGCGTAAAATGCGTCCTATAATTATACATAATGCATCGATTCTGTTGCATTCCCATTTTTTTTTTTGCAGAGCACTCAAATCAATTACTGCTAATGCGCTTTAGCTTGTCTTTTGTTGAGATGAGAAGAAGGTCTTCAGAGCAGCGTTAAGCTCCACTCTTGGCATTCACCGCGTGCCTTAATTGTATGACATTAAATCAAGGTCCGCTGTGAACACGGAGAGTCAGAGACATGGGTCAAATCAAAATGGCGATTGGTTCAACGTCCCTTAAAGAACACCGACCCCCTTCCATTACACAATGGTCTCTTCCAGAGCCACGTTCTATTATAGAATGCTAACGCGAGGAGATTGCCTGACTGCAGTGTCGTAGCTCCAATTAAATATGTTCCTTCAGAATAAAGTCAACAATCAAACTGGTCTGCGAACAAAACCTGAAAAAAACAATCCTCATCATTTGAGTTCCATTGAGTTGGTAACATATTTTGCAATGTTGTGATTCTTTTTCTAATGACTTAATAATAAAGATAGGCTTTCATTTTTTTGAGTCCTCTTTTGAACAGATGAACTTAAAAGGAAAGGTCTGGACGAGTCGTCTTTCCTTATAATGGGAAGCAAAAATAACTCAATCGCACCTGCCCATTCCCTAGCGAGTACGTACAGTCCATATGGCCTGGCTAGAGTTGCTCTGTTCGTACAAAAAAAAAAAAAGGAATTGAGGAATCTACGCCTTTCACTGCCCTTTAAATGCTTAAACTGACATGGCATCCATATTGATTCTCACTGTGAGAAGTTAGTCGAGGAGAAGTGGAGATGGTAAAGAGGACATTAACCATTCTGGAGTCAATTTGTGGGCAGTAAGGAAAGCCCTAGAACTGGGCAAGGTTGACCTCTATTGGTGGATCTGTGATATGGCATCAGGACGAAGACTGGGAAATGACATATCTGTCAGCTGCAGACCCACTTTCAGTCATGGGAATGGGTGGATCCGTAAGGTTTCATTTCCAAATGTTACAATGACACCACAATGTAAGGAGTGATCCGCTTCTCAAGCCCAGGGATCCATGTTAGTCCTTAAAAAAACAGAAGAAAAAAAAACAGGCATATTAATGGTGGACATTCCAAGCATTGAAGAACAAGTCATCTTCCAAAGCCATCAATATAAAGTTAAATAAAATATTAATAATGACATGTTATACAATGCTCAGCATGTAATCTAGACCATCTGACGATCTGTTTATCTGTTCACAAAAGAATGGGGGGGAAAAAAACAAAAATAACGAAAAAAAGCAACGTATGCATGTAAAATCTCAGCAACATGTTTACATTACAAGGTAACAATTTAACAATAATATTAAATATAAGACAAACAACAAAACTACAGTAACGTTAGGAAGGGGGAAATGGAATGTACAAAGATTGCTTGAAAAAGAGAGCAATTAATTCAGTGGAAGAAATACAAACGCTGCAATGAATCAAAAAGCAAAAAACAAAACAAAATTGCAATATGCAAACAAAATATGTAATAGTAATTAAAGAAAAGCATTTACAGTACCATTTTAGAGAGGGAAGGAGGCATTGAAGCTCAGTCACCAAGCCTTAGCTGCAACATGGGAGCATCTCTTGATATTTTTGGCAGTGACGGATGCAGTGGTGCGGTCTTTTCCCCTCGCTTGCTGATCCAGAATTAGGGATTAATGGCAATACAGCCAAACAAATAAGGCAACTGCCTTTAGCACAAGAGGATTACACGGGACCGCTGACGTCATCAGCCAGGCAGATGTTAGCTCCCAAAGTCCTCATCATCTCCCTGTGTCCTTGAAAGCACAGAGAAGCCAGCACAATCTGGGCTCTGAACATCCCCATCTCAAATCAGTAGCCAATCAGGGGCCAAAGCTCTCCATCAGCTATTCCACGTCTGCTTATCGATCACAGATCTATCCTGCTGCCCTGGTTGGGATTTTTTTTTTTTATAAAGCCCTGTCCCTTCTCACTTAGCTGTGAAGGTCCTATATAATACAGCAGGCAGTGTGCTGTGCTCTTAAATACCAAGGAGCTTAACTAGAATGGCTTAAACATGGGCAAGGATAAGAGAAAATGCTTCCTAATCGCTGCATAATAAATCCCTTAACCCTTTAAAGGAAATTAATGACATCTGCAGGTAGCAGCACGTCCCATACTGACTCCATTTATTCTGCAGATGAATAATTTGGGTTGCAGAGGGACAGAGGGTGGTAGAGACAGACAGACAGAATTGCACACACACACAGACAGCACACACATTCCATTTCTGTGTGCAGCCCATCCAATCCCAAACCATAGAGCAGCTCTTTGTAACCATATCATATCCCATTTAATACAATGTTACTGTAGCCCAGCCTTTAGCACAGTGCTCATGCAGTGAAATGCATGATTATAAGGTAAAAATGAATGGGCGGCCGCAGGCATGAAAAGCCAGTGTAAACTGACACGATGGGAAGGTGGACCGGTTATTTTGGGGCTTAAAGGGCATTTTTCTATGTAAATAATAATTTATTTTCACATAGCTGTCCATCCCTATGTTTCTAATTAGTTACTAAGCAAGTGTTCTATTTACAGCCAGATATATCACTGCAGTATGAGGTCAACTTCAAAACCCATTTTAAATTCGGTTAAACAATGCCTTTCACATTATACCCCTGTGGCCTATCTTGACCTACTTTATAATTGTACATACATAAGTTGACAGAATCTGTAGTTTGCTGTGAATACATAGTAAACATTGTCTGTCTGTCTGTCCTGTCTATCTGTCTTGTTATCTGTCTATCTATCTATCTATCTATCTATCTATCTATCTATCTATCTCTCAATCTGTCTGATTTCACACACTACACAAGTGCATGCTGGACACACACACACACACATGAAATGCATATGATGCATACATGTTTATTTACACTTATGCACATGCCTACATGCATGTACACATCCTTACTTCACTTGGTATAACATTTACATTTTCTCTAAGTAAATATTTATATTCATTACACTTTCAATCTAAAATCTAAATATAATTGGGTGTAGTCCATGGATAACTAAATGCTTTCATTGCCTCAATATGAGTTTTGCAATGATTGGCCTATAGTACAGAAACATTCTATGTATAAACCCTCCAATCATAGCTCACTAAATTATAAATAATAGCAGGTACTTTTATATCCACTGAAAATATATACAGCCCCCTGCTATCAAAGATGGCTGCCCAATAGCTGCATTACGACACTATATTCAATATGTGTCCTGCTTTAATGATGAAGTATGTGTACGGTTGCTATAATGTAGGATCTATACTAAATAAGCACTATTTTGGAAAGTGATGCAGATTTCATCACTGTATGGCCATACTGCATACTGCAATGCTCAATTTATCTGCATTCCCTGTGTTGGCAAAGAACAGTGTTTATAGGAATTTAAAGAGACTTTTAGCCAATGGGAATCCAATACAAATCAACCAAAAAATATAACTTTTTTTTTTTTTTTAGCAAACCTCTGCCTATGTTTATTTCATATATTTATCTAAAAGAAATATAAAAAGGTATATCATAGCACAATAACATAAAATATTTGATCATTACACTCTCTCCTTATATGCACAATGATAAATCTAGGTCAAGCACAACAAAAGTGAAAAATGTATAATTTTAGCAATATTTGGGTCAAGGTTCCTACCAATACAGCCTTTAGCACAATTCTAAGTGGCACTTTTTATAGTCACTTACAAAAAAAAAAAAGATCCCAGACCCATTCCATATTTTGATGCAATGTAGAAAATTGCCATAATCCTCACTAAACCATTTTGGATTTTGTTTATAATATATAACATAACAGAATAAATAGCAACCAATAGAAATATGTTTCAAATCAAGCATGGTTTCAGTTTAGTGAAAACTGGATTAATAATTAGATTGAAATATGTACCTGCTTGTTAAAATGACTACAGTGAGCTACATTTATACCATAGATCTGGAATCACTACATTGAGTAAAGACACAGCATATATATGAAGTAGATGGACTGGGCATTTTTGCTCTGGAGTACTGTGGAGTTAGGGAACCTTTGTACCGGAAGAAAATAGTAGTAGCACAATAGGACTTGGCATTTTTTTCTCTCCCAAGCACAAAGCAGCTCAACTGCTTCAGCATTAAACAAAGGAAGCGTGGGCCATCGGAATTCATAGCACATTTACATGGTTTATATAGAGACAAGTCTCCCACCATTAAACAGCACATACAATGATCTAAAATAATGGATCACAGTGGGAAATAATTCAAATGTATATTAGACACATTATCAAATAGAAATACACATCACGGAAAAAAATAATGTTAACTAGCTTTGATCTAGAAAAATGGCAATAAAGGACCAGACTAATGTCCAGACTGCCAGCATACAGCACTGCTTCCAGTTACATAGGATGTAACAGAACATGGCGATGGAATCATTACATTTAAAATGCTGTGATACCCAAGTATCTCACTGCTAGCAAGACATTGCAGCACCAGTCTAACAAAGGGCTGGGCTGTGCATAGAAAAAGAATATACAGAAAGTGTATACTTACAGAGCCCGATTAATGCTGTGTAATCCCCATCAGCCATCGTTTATTCACAGCATCCATGTTCTGGACCCAGATCACACCATATTCTTGTTTCTTAGATGAATATTGCATTCACCCCAAGCAATGGAAGTTTCATTTTGTGGCTTGCATGCGAGTGAACTGAGAGCAGAGCTCCCACTTACAGCCCTCCTAGCTCCATCTCTCTCCCTCTGTCTCCTTCCCCCCCCCCCACCCCCCCTTTTTTTTTTCAAAAGAGGGCTGTCCGCATCTTGCATCCCAATGAGTTAAATCTGTCACTTTCTTCTCATGCATCAGCAGACTCTTTAACAATCCCTGGGCTAGAGGCACAAAAGACCGTTAACTCTATTTGTGACAGTATTGGAACATATCTTTTTTTCTTCTAATTTTCTGAGGGTTAAACTCGCTCCAGAAAACATGTCATATATTAAGCCAATTTACCCCATCTTCAATAAATTATTAATTTTGTTATAAAAAAAATATAATGTTATTATATAAACTTTAGTGAGGCAGTCTTTGTTCATTTTCTTTCCATATAGTATAATACATAGCTCGTGTGGGTGCATCAGTCACAAAGACCTATGGATAGGTCATCTGCATTCTAGATCACCCTGACGTAGCTTTGTGAAAGCTTCCTTGACCTCACATATCTTTATCCCCTCCCCCTCACTGCATATGTGCTAAATATGAGCACCTGGTCAGCACATTTGTAATTGAATGACTCGGGATCTTCTGATTACACAACCCCCATACCAAGCATGGCTGTATAGACACACGAGGGTGATTGATCAAAAATGTCAAATCTCACCAGGATTTTTTTCACAGTAAAATAATCCAGATATTTTTATAGGGATATTTTTAGTAACTCTATTGGCAGTAAGCCAGATTTTATTGATCTGCATGAAAATAAAATGTAATTTGCATAATACTCTTAACACTCAATAAGAGTTGATTTATAAATATCTGAAGGTGCAGACTGCTTGTATATTAGTACACAGGCTTGTATGCTTGTATATTGTATTTTATAATAAATAAGGTCCCTTCATTTTCTGTCGATCCAGAGATGTGTAATGTTATAGACTCTATAGGGGAATGAATAGCTATTGGTAACACAATGTTTAAGGTCATGCAAGGGGAATGCAAACAGTTTCATTTATATTTCATTGGATGATATGTCACTATGAGCACGATCATACATGCTGCTGCTTCGATTGTTACATTTAATGGCAAACAAGTCACACAGTATATGAGAAGCATTTATGTGACATATTGAAAAATATAATATAAATTGAAACCATGAACAAGAAATGACATTTATTTTAAGTCATGATTTCTAGATTAAACTCTCTTAACACCCAAAGCAGATATTTCAACACAACATTCTGTATTGAGCTAGAAAACATCTCAATGCACAGAAAGCCTTTAATAGCATACAGAGAAAATATATGCAGTTACTGGACATTCTAGAGGCAAAATGATACAGTTAATCATTCTACATTCAGAAAAGAACCTTTCATTATTCTAATGCAAAGAAAACATTTTTTTTTCTACACATTGAAAGAAACATTTAGACACTTTGTCTGCCCTTCATGAATATTTTGTTTCAAGCAATTATGTACACACAAAGTTATGAAATGTTTATATTTAGTAAAAAGATACACAATAAATGTACATGAATAAAATTGTTATGTACACACACATAATATATTATATATGGATGTAGTAGTGATCCCTGAAGCAACACTCTCTTCAAACTGTGTCTGATTGTATATAACAGCCAGGCACACTAACAAAACATACAGTATAAAGGGTTCAATTTCATGCACATCTTCAAATGTGGTATACAAGATACAATGCATAGAATGCCACAGAGGATGCTCCATTGGTAAAGCTCACAACAGCTATATCTTAGGTAGGATCTACATAGATATAAGTTCAATAATCACAAACAAAATAAATATTGCACCACCAAAGGGCACCATTGCACCCATGCTGCTCACACCATCAAAAACATAAAAACAGAAAATACTTAAAGTGAACATCAAAACACTCAGGAACTAAAATATTTCAAATGCACATTTTGAAGCAAGAAACACAAGTTATCACACTGTCAAAATTTTAGGTTTACTGACATCTTTGAGTTTTCAAAAAACAAACAAACAAACAAACAAAACTTCTACCTTTCTTAGAACTTATATATAAGAAATAATAAATATATCTAAGATTATAATACAATTATATATCATATCTATATCCCATACCTGGTATAGTGTTGTTATTTGCTACCACCCTGTATCTCCCACTCTCAAAATCATCTTCTGTTAGTTAGGACACCACAGTCCCCCTTTCCCATATCATTTGTGTCTTAACTTACAAATGTTATATTCCATTATATTGGTCAATATTGGTCCTGACTAGGAGAATACATTTTTGAAAGCTTGTCTTTTAATATTTATTGTTGATTCAGCTTAACAGTTATTGCTGCATACTGCAATGCTGCTGTTAGTTTGGTACATGGCTAGACAGACAGACAGACAGGCAGACAGACAGACAGACAGATAGATAGATAGATAGATAGATAGATAGATAGATAGATAGATATGGTAGATATGGTAGATAGATAGATAGATAGATAGATAGATAGATAGATAGATAGATAGATAGATAGATAGATAGATATGGTAGATAGATAGATAGATAGATGATAGAAGTGTATGTATATTTTCTATGGCTGCATTTTTTAAATATCCAGTAAATGCATTCGTTCAATTGAGCCTTTCAGTCCCAAAGCTGATTTTTTTTTATCTTGACTTAAATGCTTACCATGTTTTGATTTCGAAGCCTGAACAAATTTTTATGTTGTGTGTTGCCAGATCTATGTGTAATTTTAATAACAAAAACACTATATTCCTTTTATATTTATTGAGGGATAGCCTGTGGTTGGCAGGGGAACAATCCAGGGTAAACCTTCCGCATACAGTACATCATTGGAAGTTGTAATACTAAAACGTAAGTATTAATACACAGGCCAAATACACACACAGTATAGCACACATTCATTATTAATGAGCTGCTCCTGTCTCAGGACTCTGTTTTTCTTGGCAAGCCTATCATCTTGAAACGTCTCAGTTCAGTATGTTTGTACAAAGCTTATGAAAATGTAACCTAACTCATTGGGAGAGGTTGTTGCTAATTAGTTCATAATAAACTTCTCTGGCGAGGGCACAAAAGTCTTTTAAAACTGCAAGGTGTTCTTTGTTATTATCACACTGGATACATTAACATATCAATGCAGGATTGGAACAATGGAGCGATTTAGCAGATCCACACACTTTGATCCTACTCTGTCTTTTTCTTACATTGTCATTCATAGTCATACAGAGATTGATTCTTTTCAAGAGCACTTCTTTCCCCCCCTAAATTGTTGACTTCAGCATTACTTTTCTAAACTATAAATGTACATGTTTTGTGTGTGTATATAATATATATATATATATATATATATATATATATATATATATATACAATCATACATACATACATTAATACACACACACACACACACACATACCCAAACACACATAATTTGTTAGTGTTAATACTGGTAATAATTTTGTTACTGTTACATGTTTGTAGATGTTTCTTAAAAGGTCTGGTATGATATTTACAATGTATACAGCACAATTATTATTCAGATTTGTTAACATTTTTCTTGCTAATATTTAACTTACCGTTTGTGCAGTGATAAGCTTTCACATAGAATAAAATGCATGGAAAAATTGGCAAATGTTAGGCTATTGCATTGCTTAGTGGAACTTGCTCCTTCTGTGCAGTCCTGAGCAGTATGTGTGTGTGTTTTTATATGACTAAGCAGCGGATCTTCTGCAATAGCTTACTTGGAAGAATTAGAACACGACGAGTGACCCTTTCTGCATAACAGCTGACCTCCTGCAATAACAAGTGAACAATACACACTATGAGGTATGGACACGATGCCATTTCTGGATAATGTTTCAGCATTGGATGTGTTTACACATTACATCATGTTCAGCATCTTTATACCTCTGTGGAAAGCAACATAAAACAATAGCAAATAACTAGTAAATAAAAAGCAGCATTGTAGAATTATAGCATAAAATCTAGAATAAATAAATAAATAAAAAAACATTTAAAAATAATAATAATAATACTGATATATATATATATATATATATATAAACTACTCAACTATATATATATATATATATATATATATATATATGTCTATATATATGATATAATACAATATATATATATATATATATATATATATATATATATATATATATATATATTCACACATATATATACTGCATATGTTAAAAATTCATACACACCTCACATATACCATACATACATACACATGATTATAAATGCATATCTGATGATAATGTGACTTGAGTTACATCTGGAAAGACCTACTTTCTCTCGAAAATCTGTTGTTATTAGCAAAACAATGGGGTCTGCGGGCGATTAGAAGACTGTAACTGAATAGGGAATCCTCGGAATGAATACGGGTCAGTGCTTAGAGGTCTCTGTCCCAAAGCCCCTTTTCTCAGCTTGCTACAATAAACTGGCTGGAGGTTTAGTCGTTGCTGGGTCACCAGCAATTTTCTATTATGCAACACTTCACAAAAACACTTATTAATCAGCGCTGACCAGAGGACCCTTTCAGAAACAAGGAGAGACAGAAAGGGGTGACAAGACACAGAGAAACAGCAGAAAAAAGTTCATCACATTCACAGTGTCTAATGCTGCAAACAACATCATCAAGCTGTTCTTGAAATGGTGCAACATCGCAAAGTTTAATACAAGCCAAAAGGATGGGAAGTACATCTCTCTCTCTATATATATTTATTTAATCACATCTCCCTCCCCCTTTCTTTATGTCCTTATTTTCTCTCTTGTCTCTCTATTCATCTCTCTTTGTCTCTCACTCTGTCTCTCCCTCTGTCTCTCCCTGTCCCTCTCTGTCTCTGTCTCTCTCTCTCTCTCTCTCTCTCTCTCTCTATCATACACACAGACACACATTATGTGTAGACGAATTTGTCCTTGAAACGTTTATCTTGTATATCGTTTTATGAGTATACTTAATGCATTTTATTCTGTAACAGGATATACTTATATATGTTCTAGTCATGTTCTAAACATTAAAAAAATTCAGTCTGTTTCTGCATTTTGGAATTCCCTGTTAAATTATTTACTCTATTAAAAAAACATAAAAAAAGTAAAAAAAATAAATATATAAAAAAATAAATATATATATATAAAAAATGAAAATATTAAACATTAAATACACCCCAATAAGCCATAAAGATAATCATACATCAGATATATGGTTGATAGAGTTTATTTCTCAGATTAGAAATGATGGTTTGAAAACAAGGTCATCCTTAACGCTCTAGAAGAGCATGCTTTATGTCACTGTATTGAATACATGGACATACCAATGTGTTTAAATGTACATAACCATTTCTACTATATTATTCTGTACCTCCTTTGATTCAAATGACTGCCCACAAGATCAACTCTTAATAAATAAAAATGTGATTTCTAGTAACCAGTAAGAATTTGCTGACTGTTTCATGTTGTGTAGTTGGTTTCGTTTTTGTCTTTCTTTGTTTTTTTAGTATCATGTAATGACTTTAGCATCCTTATGCACTCACCAAATACTTTAGCTCTAACAAAGATAGGCTTTTTAATATTGTTCTCTTCAAAAGTACTTGATTTTCCTGCCTGGAGTAATCAAGTGTTACCTGAATTATTTAAGTCTTGGGATTAAAGGCCTGGTTGCTGGGTGCTGACAGCCTCTCACTGCAGACAAAAAAAAAACACATTTGTATTATTATTTTTGCTCTGTTATGCATTGTGTTTTTGATATCATTTGGGCAAATATAGCAAATCATTTAAATGCCCATGCAGAAAAATCCCTTTTTTTAACATGACAGTCTGATATAAAAGGTTTCACAAGGCCTCTTTGCTTGTCTTTGCTTACATACCTTAATGCAACACTATTTATATTTACAAATACATGAATTAGTATCAAAATTTGTAATGTGTATTAGTAGAATGTTTACAACAGTAATACAAACTTGTATCCACATACACATATATACACAAGCACACAAAAAATGCAAAAGCAAAGTTAACATATTTATAGATTTTAATTAGTATGGTAAGGATAAGAGTTAAATTAAGTCCTGAAATACTTTTTAAATATATATTTTTTTCAGTGAAAATAACACTCAAATACCTGTCAATGACATAGTATTATTTTTATATAATTAATGCATCACATTTTTATGGTATATATCTACCTACCTATTGATTGTTGAACACTTTAAATGTTGTTCTGTCTGTTATGAATTATTATTTATTCTGTTTTATTTTTAAAATAGTACATACACTTTAAGGATGTGTACTATGAATGGAAATGTTTTTCACAGTTGGCACAAAACTGCAAATAAACACAAACATGGCTATTTACTAAATTGAGGATTGAAGGTGAATTCAAAGTAAATTTGAAATTCAAGGTAAAAATAGTTGGACGAGAAAGACTCTCTAAGTCAGCTATGAATTTACTTTGAACTCTAAATGTGAATAATTCTAAATGTGTAAATAAATACACCACAGCAAATTAAGAAAAATGTCCAAAAACATAAAGAGGGAAATTAGCAGTTTAAAAAAAATCAAAAAAAAAATCTACTCAATGGTTAATGTATTGTGAACACTAAGATGGCATTATTTTACCTAATGTTTTCTTCAGTGTTATGTATCTTTTATGTGACATGATTTTTTTTTTTTTAAATTTAAATTCAATTCATGGCTTGGGTTAGACTTAGGGCTAAGGTTAGGGTTCCAGGCATGTCACAGTTTGTTCAAGATTGGTGGGAGTTACCTTCTTGGACACCAGCTGCTTTTCTTAGTATTGCTCTTCTCAATTTCGTGATATGCTGGGAGAAGAGCTGAGAGAGAGAATCCCACTATCTCTGCCTCCCCATCCCCTCTCCTGGGATATCAGTTTCGGAAGAGGAACTATATTTTTGCTGGAAGCTGAGATAGCAGCTGCTGCCTGTAAGAGAAACTCCCATTAATCTCATGAAGGCCAGAACATGTATATCCTGATGCTGATCTGAGATTAAGGGTTCTGTTTCTTAATGACTGGGGTAACATCACTCACAGTGTAGCACAGGATTTGACCTGCTTATTGATTTGCATAAATTATCCTTGGATTAGAGTTGCGAAATGTAAACTTATTAGACAAAGATCATCTGAGTCAGTGCTTGACCATGCTTAATTTGTGAGGGCAAATGTAGTGAAAAACAGTACACTACTGTATTTGCAAGCCTATGTAAGTATTGATGTCTTTGGTTGGTTCATATAAAACTTTAATAAAAAGGACACTCCAGACACCAATATAACTTTAAGGCCTTGGCTATTGTTTGATTTCCCTAACATACTTTATTGTTTGCAAGTTCAGGTCTTCAGTGTTTTTGCCCAAAATAACAAATGTTTTGCAGCATGCAGCACCATAAACCTATCTCATCCACACCCCCTCACACCAGCAATACTTCCTTATCAGTCAGCCAATAATGAGACAGAGTGAGCTGATTTTAATCCTAACATAGCTGCAGAAAAACCACTGTCAAAGAGGTAGTGATGTCCTACCTATAGTCTCACCGGGTATCCTCACTTCCCATAAAGGTTGCTTTGTTACACTTGGTATATTGTATATATTGTTTTGGCACTGTAGTGACCACACTCCATTTTCTTTGTTGTTTGCTTTGTAGTTTATCTCACTCAGAGCTGTCAGTGACTATAAACAGAGCACGATTAACCATAATGTAACCTTAGATGGCTGCCTAGGGTCCAGGGGTTAGACAAGGGCCCCCGGAACCATGAATTTGCTTGGTCCCATCAACCATCCCTATGTGAAGAATAATGGAGGGGCAAACTGGTAGCCTGCGTAGGGCATGTCTAGGGCCTTGTGGAATCTTAATCCTCCTCTGTGTGTGCATACATTTGATGAGGAAGTCTTTTGCTTTAGTTAGAGGCATAGCTAAGGAGGTAGGGTTATGGTGCAGCACGTTTTTGAGCATGCAAAAGCACAGCAAATGAACTAGGCCAAACCATATCAAATGCATTAAAGCTGTATTGGTGGTCTGGGTGCCAATTCCCATCACCCTTAACCCTGCAAGTGTAATTATTGCAGTTTTTATAATCTGCAATAATTACCTTGCAGGGTTAAGTCCTCCTCTAGTGATTGTCTTTCAGACAGCTTCTAGAGGGACTTCCTTGTTCTTAGAACACAAATAGTATTTTAAACGACGCTGGATGTCCTCACGCTATGCATGAGGACCATCAGTGTCGCTGGAATCCCCATAGGAAAGCATTGAATAATGCCTTCCTATGGGGAGGTCTAAGGCACACGCGCGTCCATTGGCGCACATGCGCATTAGGTCTCCCCCGCCGGCTGACATCAGTGGGTGGGAAGCGTGGATGGAGCCTGACCCAGCGCCGAGGGACATCGCTGCTGAATTCAGGTAAGTCACTGAATGGGGTTTTAACCCATTCAGCAACATGGGATGGGGGGGTGGGAGGGAGAGGGGCACTGCAGGGTCCTGCAGTGCCAGGAAAACAGAAATGTTTTCCTGGCACTGGAGAGTCCCTTTAAGGTGAAAAATCTCACACCCTTAAAAAACTAGGAGAGAATTTGTTAAGATACTTGAAGACATCATTAATAACGTTTGCATTCTAAACCAACTTTTAAAGACCCAGGGAAGTTTAGCATTCAAGAATACCCATGACCTTCACACTTTGGAATTTTGTTGAATGACCTAAGTTTGTAATTTTCAGATTTTCATTATCACAAATTAGGTCATCATAGACCAATTTAAAGTGTAGAATTTACTCGGCAGAGAATTTTAATATCATTCTCAGGAAGAAATGCATGAATAATGTGTGTTAAATATGCAGGACATATATTGTATACGTTTTATATAATGACTTAAAAAATAACACAATTGCCTTAAATGATGTTTATATTATGCATATCATAACATAAATATTTACTGTACAAAGGCAACATGCAAAAATATGTATAAATTTAATATTAAAGTCAAAGTGTTATAATATCAGAATTACTAATACTCAAGCAAATACATTTAGATACATATATGTTTGAATAATATATTCATGCCACCTTTATATAGTGTCAGAAACAATGCAGCTAGTAAAATAGTAGTCACCTTGCTAGAGGTCTTCATTGCGCTGACACTTTTTATTTTTGCAATAGAAATCTTAACAAAAGTTGTTTTTAAGCTGATTTTGTATTGTCTATGTGTCATGTTTACCTTGTAGAACAAACAGGTAAAATAATCATGACGATTAAAAATAACTGAACTAGAAGGGAGAATTTGTTTTTATCTGTAATGACAATGCCATGTTTTGCTTAACCTGTTTGACTTATGCATAATGTCTAGGCATTATACAGAATGTCTAAGTAATGTATGATTAACTGGGGAATACACAGCACTTTTGAACATTTGTATTATTACTTATTATTTGCCAGGTTTGCTTATTATATTCATTGTGTGCATTAACATTCTATTTTGTTGAATTTAAAGCAATTTTACATTGAAAATGTACTCAAGGAAGAAAGGGGCAAACGGGGGATGTAGTATGACTGAACAATGAGAACAATGAGAAAATGAATATAATATGTATGTAGAACAGAATGACATTGGTTTAAAAATAATCTGTCGGGACTTAATAACATAAATAAAGAAGAATAATAAAATAATAAAGAAATATATATATATATATATATATATATATATATATAAATGTATATATACATGCATCATAAATGCAAGAATTTAAGTGCTTTATTCATTTCAGAAAATGTTATTGATTATGTGAAGGTAATGATGTAGTCTTAAAACAAGTTGCCTATTGAAATGTAGGCACTGGCTGGTACCATTCTCTTAATTCATGGCTTCTTTTTGAAAAAAAAAAAACTAGAGAGAGACAGAAGTAACATATAATAGGGAAGAGTGTTTTATAGTAGAATAATACCATCAAAGGATTTTGGAGGTATAAATCACAAACTGAG